TGAGCAACCAGAAGAAAACTTCACAGCTTTCCGACCTGTGAGGAAAAGCACTGATCAACCAACTCCACTTCAAAGTGTCCAGACGCAGCAAGAGCGAGGAGATTCACCTACCAGGTAAAATAATAAATACCACTTTGCAAATCCTTGTCAGATTTGCACACAAGGGACAAACAACGATAGACGGACCCATTTCATGCAATGCCCCTAAAATACATTTAAACTTAAGCCATTGAGATCATTTGTTCTACACTGATGGTGCAAAACACAGTACAACTCCTAAATGCTATAGTGAGCAGACCACTCATTCTCCCTAAGTGTATCAGGTATTTCCCATACGATCACTATGCATGTGTCTGTGTATGTCATGGAATTACCTGCATTACAATGACGTGGATGGTGCAAGGGACGGGGGGGGGAGTTAAAGGACAAACAGCAAAATGGTCAGACTTCCAGCCAGACTGTTTTCTCTTCTTCCTGCCCACTTCCTCAGCCCCAATTTAAAAAAGTAACTGACGGTGATTTCTCTTTTCTCCTCATTTCTTTCAGCATTAACGTCACTGATGAAGATTCACATGCACAAAATGAATGCCATAACAATGAAGGCTCACTGTCCAACACAGATGAAGACACAGGGGTAGCTCCCCTTAATCTTTCCAAAAAGGCTGATGCAAACACAGGACCTACCCATGAGCATACATACAAAACCACATCCAAAACAGAAAGTCAGAGCTTTCTGGAATTGCAAGACATGCCTCTGAACCTCTCAGTAAAAGATTCCTGTAACACAGTAAGCCTGAAAACGTCATTCCACAGTCCATCTCACGATAATGGTGCTGCTACTTCTCCAAGCAATGAAAATGAAACCTCTGGAGTAGATGCATGTAGTCCCAAGAACCCTACTAACAGTGCCTGTGACAAACCTTTCACAGCTCACCGTAATGAAGCTCAAGACTTAAGAATAATTGACAGCTGTGATGAACAGAAACAAACTGCAGCTGTAGCTCTCTGTCAGCTAGCTGCATACAGCCCAGGCAAAGTTAGACTGGACAATGAAGGGCAGAGTCCTCAGGACAGTAATGCTTCTTGTACAGAAGCTTCTCTTAATTCTTCGGATACTCAGGATACTCAGTGCAGTCAAAAAGTAAAAGGACAAAAAAGGACAAATCAAAAAGAATCAGCAAAATCTCAGCAAGGCACTAAACGAGTAAGGCCAAATGACTGTAGCAGAGTCTTCACTTTAAGGAAGAGAACAAGAGTATCTTAATACTTCACTTTCCAATGAGTTTCTGGTCATAGGAGCTAGTTACCAGCAACACCATTAAATTTCTACAAACCGCCTCTTACTGGGTTTGGTTCCGTGACAAGATACATTCAATCTCTCCCATGTAAATAATGTTCATAATTTTATATTAATATTTTTAAGTAACAGAACCTTCCCTTGTATAAGCTCAGATTTTGATGAGTGAATTTTTGCATTCATTACTAAAGCCAAAGTACATCAGATGAATCTTTAAGGGTTTTGCAATTGTATTAATGTAAAATAAATTTTACAACTTCTTTTCTTAAAAGATGTTTAAGCTCTAGAAACAATACTGTTCAATTACATACTGTCATAGTCTTATGTCAGGCTGAATTTCATTTAATGGGGTTTTTTTGTCTCTTTTTCTTTGAAAAACATTTTATGTCACAGTGCAGTAGTTTAAATAAGCTTAAGATTAAACCTGGCTATTTAGAATTTACTGTAAAAATTGGTTTGTGTATGAATGCCCTTTTCCACTATGCCATAATACAAAAAAATAGACCAAATTTTGCTACTCAGAGGCAGACACCAGTTTAAACAAACTGATCCAAACCTTGTGTAAGCAAGTTTTGCTGATGCCGCCTGAGATTTAAGTTAAACCAAGGAAAGTCTGCACCAATCTAACAAACACAGTTGATGTTCATCTTTAACTGAGCTGCTCTGAAAACAACACTGAAAATTTGAAGATCGAAATAATTTAGGTGCCTCATCTTCCTCTGAGATTAGACAGACACTGGGCAACTTTGAAACTCCAAGCCTAAAAGGTTATTTATATAATTTATTTCACCTGAGGCAAACTCTTTCTGGTGAAGGTCTTATTTCTGTATACATGTATCTCTAATTATCAATGTGCTTCTACATACATCCTAAAACTATTTTCTGCTTCTATACCTGTGTATATAAACTTGCAATTTTTCAAATAAATCTGTGACCTGTACTTCAAATATATGGCACATCATTAATGACCACAAACACATTCACTGCACCATCTGTAACACGTATCTTGAAGAAAAGTTAGTAAATAAATTGCTAAATTTTCAATGTACAAGCAGAATTTGGCATGGAATATCAACTCTACACAAGGAGCTTCCTTCAGTGAAGGAAGTTCATTATGCATATTAACTCTGCTGTACTTCAAGGCAGAGGGAATTCTGAGGTTTGCCATATGGAGCTAAAGCTGCTGTCCAGCTTATCAAAGCTTCTACAAAAGTTGAACCAAACCAAGGCTGTTCCACTGTATACAAACCCCATGTAAATTTGCACAGTATGAATTATCAGTCGAAGGAAAACAAACCCAAGCTTATTCACTCAAAACTATGGGCATGTATTTCTTATTGATTCATTACTCAGGTAAGAGACTGCCTCACCTGCCTGAACACTACTAGTAGGTATAAACCCACATCAGGAAGCTGAGTTATATTCAATGCAATACAGAGTTCCCAGAGTACTTGTTTTTCTTAATTTTTTGTGCTATGGTGGTTTAAGCTAACAGCTTAGCCCTAGCATTGTAAGAAGTTTACCATTAAACAGCAAATTACAGGGGTTAAGTTTCTGAGCTAAGAAACAAGAAAAGAATAACACCACTGATCTTTAATTTAATCTTTCATAGAGGAAAGCTTTTCCTAGAGCATCAAAAGCAGGAATATCAAGCTGAGAAAACAGAAAAAGCCTGATTAACTCAGATTACAACAGTAAGGCAGTAAGAACGGTTGATGTATGAAGCTGTCCATAGTAGGAGATAAAACAAGGACAAAACTGTTTTCTAAGCCAAAAAAAAAGCCCATTAAAATAAGGGTCATTAAAGCAAAAGGGCAAAAAGGGATAAGGAACCATGTCCAGTGTGCATGGCTATTCTGCAGCCCATCTGCCCAATGATAATAAAGGTTTGACTCTGATGAAGATACATTAGTCATTACCAGTCATATTCTTCAGTGGCTGTACCTCATTTTATGTCCAAGTCTTTCCAAATTCTATCCTACAAATTCAGACTACCCTCTTTTACTCATCGTTTGCTGTATCATATCTTTTTGCCTCTGTATAACTCATTCTTGAGTACCAGAAAACCAAAGGAGTTGCAGCTCAGCCAAGATAACCTCTGACTAGGCTTCTTACCCATCTTCTTAGACAATGACTGTTGGAATTCTTAGCCCTATTTAATTAAGAAACTTGCAATTTCTATAAAATCATTTTTTAGATCTTTATGCTTATCTCTCCCAGAAAGACCTTGCTGCCATGGTTGTGTTCTCTCCTATGTTAGCTTTCTATTCTTCCACACCAGTAGTAAATAAAAGGATAGTAATATTAAACCATTATTAATATATTAAATACACCAATATTGAAGTATCACACCACTAATAGAAGGCTACATCTTGTGCAGTCTCACAAATTAAAAATTTGCATATAAACCCATGTATATTAAAATGACCTTCCAAGGCAGCAATATATTTGCACTGCATCTCTGTAGAAAAAGAAGGGTGTGAAGGATACGACCATCATCCCCATTCTACAAATAGAAAAGTCAACCTAAAAAGTGAAGAGAGATGGTGTCACAGCACAGGTGAATTCACTGGCAGAGCCAGGATTCACTCATGTCATCTGTAGTCCTACACAACATCCAACTTGCACGGAACATCCACTTTAGATTTAAACAATTCTATTACATGAGGCTATTCCAATTCTTGCTAGAAGGAGGGGGGGAGGGGGAGAGAGGAGGGATTAACTGTTTCATCTTTATCATACAAGGGCAAAAGTATTTGGAAAAGGAAAACCAACTGACAGCTAGCTGTGCAAAAAATCTGACATGCAAACCAGATACTGAATCGGACATGAACTCGTTCCATGGAGACAGAATAACAAACTGTATTAAATACCATATTTTACAGTTCCTTCTAGAACAAGTCAACAGGTCTTCAGAATACAAATGATCTGGCAACCTGTCTTACTAGGATGAAACACCAGTTTTGACACACTGTGGAAAATCAGTGTTCAACTTTTGTGCTCAACACAGGACTACCAGATGAGATCAGAACCACCATCTAGCCGAAGATACTGCTATAAAAGTGTCCAGTAGTGGATGTGTACTGCTAGTTATGCTTTTGTCATTTCAACTCTATCAAAAATAGACCAAAATCACTAAACAGAAAACTACTGCTTTCACATTAATATCTTTGTACTTCAATATATGTTGATATATACAGAATACACAAGGAAACAATTCCTCTGCCCTGTTATTTCTCTTTCCATCCTGATGTTTCAAAAACCTATTAAAAACTTAGACATTCATGTATAAATTACACTAAATAGGCCTCTGAAATTTATTCAAAAACACACAGCATAAGTTACTAACTTTAGAGTGCAAGTTAGTCATCAATTACTTAATACAGTCCACTTAACTGACACAGGATATAAACAAACGGTATTATTTTTATACAACTGTACACAGAAATATGGGAGTGAGGAAGAAAGAAGAAAACCTCAAGAAACTAATTTCATTTTGGAAAGAAAAATTTATTAAGCATATAAAGGCACACCCAGGACAATGCTTTTGCAGAAGTATCTTAAATATCCCCATAGATGTATTTCTTTACTGTAGAATTCAGCACTACAGCCAGTAGTAAATGAGCAAATTCCAGTCAAGTGCCACACATTCAATGTCTAATACCATAAATTGTTAATTCATGAACTTACTCACATTCAGCAACTACAACTCACCATCTGAAATTCGTGAAGGGAGTAACAATCCTCTTCTGCCTAATTCAGCCAGAGCCAGGCATCCACCGTGCCATGCATTGTCTGTTTCCTGGAAACTAATTTTAGAACAAAGACAACTTTTTAAGATCAGCCTCCCCTTTTCAGATTTCATTTTTCGTGGTCAATTCCTAACATTTTAAAAGACACATAACCCCATATCAGCATTGTGATATAAATTCTGTTAGACTTCTAAAATATGAGAAGTTGAACGTACTTTCTTTCCTATTTTGTGCACTATAAATACTGCTATAAAGATTACCAAATAAGCAAACCCCCCATTTATCAGTAGAAATGGAACATCAGTAGAGTACAAAACCTGGAAGTCATCCAGAAAAGGAAAACAACTTTCTAGTACTCTGGCAAAACACACAGATTTACGGAACATACCCAGAATAACTAATTTAGTGCCAAACACAGTCCTTAACTAGCAAAAGAGGTTCAGGTGACAGTTTCCAATAAACACAGTGTATGAGCTTATGCAGTGAGCAAACTGGTGCTTATCCGCCCATTAAAAAACATCAACCAAACCAGAGCAACCTGTAGTGAACACAACCAAAAATACCCCAAACGGCAGACAATTTCTGGTGGACTGTCAGATAAAGGAGTAAAAAGGGAAAAGGTTGCACGCTGCATGACTAAACATGCAAAAAGCTCATTCTGTATTAAACTAGGAATAGGAATCTAAGAACAAAATGTAGAACAGACAAACTAGGCCATATCAAAGCTTCAACTCCACCAGCATCCTGCCTCTGACATGGACCTAGCCAAAGATGAAGCACAAAGGATCATTCCCTTATTAGCCTCCTCCTCACTTTGGCAGTCTGTACAGAGACTTCCCAAGCCAGAGGTTGCAGCCAGAATGTCATACTTAATAACCTCTGCTGGGTCCCTCTTCCATTAATTCCATTAATCCCTTTTTGAACTCCTTTTACACTTTTGCCTTCCATAACATCCTGTGGCAATGACTTCCACAGTTTAATTATAATTGCCTGAAAACGTGCTTCCTGATGCTTCCCAGTTCTCACCTTACGAGGAAGAGTGAAGATTATAATTACTCACTTTCCCTCTTTCTATCATAATTTTATGTATCTCCACTATATCCCTGTCCTTCTTCTTTCCACTTGGAAGAATCCCCATCAGTTAAATCACTTTTCAGTGATTCAGTTTTCTCATTCTATAATACCTAACATTCCCTTTGCCTTCTTTTTTTCTGACAGCTGCTGAGCATTCCACTGACATTTTGACAGAGGTATCAGTGTCTTCAAGATCTCTTTCCTGAGTAGTGATAACTGGTTTACAACTAAGCTGCCTTCTTCCCTAAGTGCATCAGTTTGCATTCATCAGACATTGTATTTCATGTCATTTACTGTCTAGTTACTTAACATAGGCTTATATCATCAGTTGATTTCCTCACCCCATTGTTCACATTTTTCCAGGATCTTCATGAGTATGTTGAACAGCACAGGGCTCATCCAGACCCCTATGGGATTGTGCTGATAGTCTCACTAACTTGTGAAAAATGATTACTTATTTCTTCCTTGTCTTGTCTTTTAATCCATCTACATTTAAGAAATCCTTTCTTTTTATCCCAAGAGATAGAACAAACTGCCTCTTATGAGCAACCGAATTATTCTGATTTTGGTCTCTAGATATTTAGTGTAAAAAGTACAGAAGAGATTCCCTTTGTCCTTGTCTACATTTGTTCCCAGGTGTTTCTGAAGAAAGCAGGTCACTCAATTACTAGTTGGATTACTCATCCCTATGACTTGAAAAACAAGGAAAGAAAACACAGCGAGTACAGGTCTTTGAAGCTCCAGGGATAATTGAGATCAGCAGCACCTCTTAAATTAATCACAGTAGCACAGTGGAAGTATCAGCAAGGCAGATACTTTCCTTGTAAGTTTTTAAGACTTTAATACTTTTTTTTATTTATTTATTTTTTAATATGTTATCCTTTGAGCTGCTATTTTTAATTTGTACTCAAAACCAGTAGAGGAAGATTTTTTTAAAACTGAGTACATCTGAGTGACAAACTGAACACTAACAGTATTTTTTGCCCATAAAGAAATTCTTTTTATTAGCCTACTCTAAAATACTAATTTAGATCTTAAAGCTCAAGCACTCAATGCAGACCTGATGAACAATCTGACATTAAAACCCCCACATAGTACTTTTTAATAATTAAGTCCTTCACACGCTTTACATGGCTGTGGAAACAAGACATCCAACAACAAAGCACATCAAAAGAACATCCTAGCAGCTATAGATGAAGCCCTCAGTGACATGGTTTATTGGCGCACTTGGCAGTGCTGCAGTAAAGGTTGAACTTGATAATCTTAAAGTTGATTCTATGATTTTATATGAGATCAAACCAAAGCTTCAGCTAGCCCAAAAACCTCTGTGACACAGTACATGCCTGAGGTCCAGTATATGAACAAGCATATTGCAACACTCTGCAGTAACAAGCTTTTACAGTTTAGCTATGTGCTCTGTGAATAAGCTCCATCTTTGTTTTACTCCAAACCTGCCACGTTCTACTGTAGGGCAATCATTTCCATGCCACTCAGAATTTCACAAACCTTTATTATAGCCCATTTACCCCTCACTTTTCCTACATGTTTTAGCCTCCCCTCACATACAGATTTTGAATACCATTTCCAGTTCTACTATGCTTCTGAAGATGCATCCAACACTCAAGACATGAGCACACCAGGAATTTTTAAAGCAACAAGTTAATGAGTATTTTTTTTATTTTCCCAAAGTTCAAATTCAGTCCTTCCACATTTCTTTAGAATGGGGTCAAGAGGAAGGATGAGGAATAACTCCTTTATTGAACACCCTCAGCACAACTGAAATCTGGGAGAAAGGCAAGAAAATTTAGGTTTTTAGAGCTGCCTTTCTAACTGTTGTCCTCCTGTTTCATAAGCAAAATTTACTTCATATGCATGTAAAGTGTGAAATAAGATTTTTTTACCTAAAACAGTCCAACAGAGACCCAATCACGTCATCTGCTAATTCTTTTGGAAGTCTTCCAGTTATTCTACCAATTCTACAGAAGATAGAAAAAGGGGGAAGAAAGGGAGGGTGGAAAAGCAAACAGTGATTCATTAGTACTGCATTTATACAAGTCCTATAAAAAATCTAGTAACTGGAAGCTTACAGTAAGATTGACTGGCTTCAAGATGACAATACACTGCCTTAACACCATTACCCTACAACAACAACAATCTCAAACTTAAAGCAAAAGCTACACAGTAGCAAACTTAACAGAGAAATACAGTTTTTAAAGTGGAAGAGGGAAGAAAAAACCCAACATTTTGCAGAAATGCCACTTTACACCCTTCAAATTAAGTCTCACCCAGATGTTTCTTTCCTTTAATTTATATTCTATCTGAAATTTTCCAGTTTCATACCAGACAAACAGACAAACATAGTTTTGTACCATCAGCTGTGCTAAAGCTATTTGAAGTAATTGGGAATACTGACAATACACAGAAATTACCAATGTTGGATTACACCAGACTGTATTTCTGAGTTGTTTACTGTAGATTATTAGAGTAACCATAAGAAACCTACCCTTTTGCTGCAGACCACCTGACAATAGTGTCTTTGTCTTTCAGTCCAACCAACAATTGCTCTGCAGAGAATTTATTTTAAACAAAACAGATTAGTCTCATTTAAAAACATAAAGATTTATTAAAACTTTCAAAATTCATTTTCCTCTTAACATAACTGCCTCTTAGTTTATATAAAGAAACTCTTTTTCACACCAGTATGACTTGAAATCAAAGAAACAAGAAAGATGACAAAATCATCTTCTAAAAGAGAATTCAATACAAAAATTTCAGGTACTGTGGAAGATTCAGGCTGGAGCTCATGGTGCTTTTTCCAGTGGTTCATTAGATTATTCAGTTATCAAAGTCTTCTGCTGCAATTTTAGCCGATTTATTTACAGCACATCCACCGGCAAGCTCACAGAGCACCTGCTGTATGACCACATACTAATAAGAAATGCTGTTCCTTTGATACTACCACAGCTTAAAAATTTCAACCATAATTCTTTAGCTTTCATTTAACATAACTTCTTGGTTTTCACTATGTATTTTAACTCATCCTTCCATCTGTGAAAGGTTCAAGTTCTCGCTTTCATACTGTATTTCAGAAGTCCATCCCCCATCCCCACAACAAATGCTGTAGTATTGAGTTTCTGTTTGAGATGCTGAAATCCAAATCATTTGAAAAAATCTAGTATACTTTAATCATTTGCAGAGACGTAAACTTTATGGTCTTTCTAATTTTTCACTTTAGCACAGACACCTACATGACTTTCTTAGCCCTAAGGTCATTTTCCAATATATGTTTAATTTGCAGGCAGTAGAATAATTTTTATTCAGTATTTACACACCTACAACATTTTCAATCTCTCCTGGAATGTCATACTCCTCTTCATCATCAGCTTCATTAGCAGCAACTGTTGCCATTTGACTCTGCACAACTGAACCCTGAGCCTGCAGATTGGCAGCTAGAGAACGACAGCCACGCTGGTATCTGCACAAGGAACAGACACATTAATTGATTTGTCTGATTGAAGTTCCCAGTGAAATAGGTGCATCCTGTCACAAAGCCTGCTGGTCAAGTTGCTACACCTCCCAGCATACACTTCCCCAGTTAAGTTAGTGGTTGCTTTAAAGAAAAAGTATCCCACTCTCCCTCCTCCTGACCCAGTTGTCTCTTTTCCAAGGTGAGAAGAGCTAGAATATTTAAATGGCTCCTTTTCATTCTCTCTCCCTTTCCTGTTTCAGTATAACCTATTTTCCACTGCTGACAATGGAGAGAGGCAAAATTCCCATGCCATAAAAACCTCTCTAAAACTTAAAATATTAACAGAATCAACTTATTAAAAATTGGTTTTTAAATGTTAAAGCAAGCTTAGCACTTTCTGACCAAGCTATACTCAGATATTTAGCCCATGGTGTAGATACATTCTTAGAAGAGACACACTTTACATGTTAAACTGACTTTTGCCATTGGGCACGGTACACTCTCCACCTAAAAGAGAATTTTCTATGCCTAAGGACGTTCTCAAAAGTTGGTAAAAGAAACACAATAAAAATAGTCACCAAGGGAGCCTGCAATTTGAAAATATCAGTGCGAGAAATCTAGAAAAGAGTTTGCCCTCTGGCAATAAGTAAAACCAGACACCAAAACCTGACTAATATGCAAAACCAAAGTGGGATTGCAAACCACTTTTCCCCTGTGAACCTCCTATCGAATCAGGGTACAACTATGTAATGGAAAAAGTTATGTTCACTCTTACAAAATCGTACTAAATCAACTTCAATAACAAAGGTCATTTTCTTCCCATCTAAACCAAGCTATGCATTATATAGGAACAGGCTTCTGCTTGTGTAACGTGCAACATGAGAAGTAAAAAGATTTGGCCTGTCCCAGCACTAGCTTAGTATAGCAAAATGGAAAAAAATTACAGGAAACTAAATACAGTGGAAGCAATCTACTTTTTCCAAATAGTGCAAATGAAGAGAGGTCCATTCCCAAAAAACACAGGGATTTCTTTCTTTCTCTTTTAGGGGAGGTTATGAGGCCAGGACAGTAGTCAAACAGGTATTCCTTGGCTTTTTGAGTGCTTTTGGATTTTTTACTTTTTATTTTTAATTGTTTCAGCTTTAAACTAACCTCCACTTTGCTACCTTTGGTTTCACAAATGTCAGTCCAAGTCTCTGAACAAGTTTCATCCCTAGCTTGCGAAGAACCATCTGATTACTCTCTGACAGCTTGCAGTTATCAAGACACTCAAGCACAGTAGCAGCTGTAAAAGAAAATAAACATGCTATAAAAACTGAAAACTCTCAGTAAGAACATAAGTTTTGTAATGTTTTGTAAGTTCCTTAGAATATTTAGATTTCTAAACGTATTACTAAGATGCAAATGCCTTATTACCTACTTTGTAGTAGCCCTGACACTGGTCAAATAGTGGTAATATTCTTCACCTACCAAACAGGAAGGATTGCTTTAAGCATTACTTTTGACTATGAAAATTATAATGAAGCTAGATTCTGAGAGTATTTATGCCTCTACTTCTCACTGGACGTGACATGTTCCAGCATTTTTCAGGGTCTAAGAATTGCCAGCAGTGTAACAGAACCAGGAATCAGAAAATCTAATTCATTTACTCTGCAGCCAGTTTCAAGACTAAGAAAGTCCTCCTTTATTCCTATTCCCTTTCCTCATTTATTATTTTCAGGCAGCATCAACTTAACTCCTCTGGCACAGGAATTTTTATGACGATGAATGCCCATAAACACTTAAGACATGAGAAATACTGTGTATGTGTAAACAGTCAGCAACGAAACCTTTCATTTGGGCACATCAAAAGGTAGCTAAATTATTTGTCCAGCAGAAAACACAGACGAAAGGAGAATCCTGGATTAATGAGTTCCAGGATTCAGAAGTTACAAATACAACAGTCCTCCTGCATTTTCAACCCGAAACAATTAATGATTGTTTTGAAGGCTGATCATTAGTTAATAGAGACCAACAGCTTGGGCTCTGAAGGACAGTCTTCCTTGCTATAAGCACCGTAAATATGGATGTGCACTGGGAAAATATTCTGCAACTTCTTACTCCAGTCTTGGAGCAGAGTTTTCAAAATACTCAGAGATCAACGATATAACAATTGTTTCAAAGTCTGAGAAAATGCAGGATGTGACTTAAAAATCTCCTTGGATTTTAAAAAGGCTTCTGACTTATCCTGACATACTAAAATACTAACAAAATACACACAGACAAAAAGGCAAAGCCAGTACTTTGATACCTTCCAACCTGGATTTTTTTGCAGTTGTAAAAGCTAGAAACTGATGGTTTAGAAGGAAGAGAGTGCAGAAACATCAATATTCACAGACAGAAAAACAAAAAGAATAACAAACTATAAGCCTCTTCCAAGTCCTGCCAACTCTTGAATCACTAAAATATCTACAGAACCATGCAAATGACTTCAGGACTAATGCTTATTTTAAAATAAAGTTCTATGCTGCAAAAGATTCCAAACAGTATCTTCCTTTGTCATTTGTCTGGTTTTTCCTATTTGATCCTCAGAGCTGTTAGAACCTGTTATAATTAAAAATCTTTGATATTTTTTGTCTCTCACATTTTCTTATCCCAAACAGTTTCTGCCTGAGTATCTGCTTCTTAGTCATGAGCATTCTACTTTTTCTGTGATACGTTTATTCACTGGTATGTCCCTCATTTTCCTCTTATTACCAGACTTGTAACTATTTAATATTCTTTCTACATGCCATAGGCCAAAACATCTAATTTTACCAGCTGGGTTAATGCTGTGAGCCAAGTATCTTCTTTTCATATTGATTATTTGTGTTCTACAGTTGCATCTTTTAAATTACCTAATTTTGTGTTATACCACATTTTCTCTAGCCTGTTTGTTATTCTGCTTATCTGTCAGTCTTACTGTTGTTCCAGCTTCCACAGTGCTGTCTGCTGTTTCTATGTGATGACATTCCTCAATATTTCCTGTTTGTTCCTGACCAGCACATATGTCATTCCACTCTGTTTGTCTTACTGTCTTATCTCCACATTTACTCAGATCTCAGGTATTTTGTAAGGAAGCATCTGCATCTCTGACAAAGTAACTGGGAGAAGGGAACTGCTTGCCACACAAGAACTAAGAAGTTTCTTCTCTGAAGTCAAAATAATCCCATTAGGTGGAAATCACAAGCAGCATTCTAAAGTGAGTTTACATCATTGCTTGATTCCTGTGAATAGCACGAACCCTATTTCTGGTGCTTTGATAAGATTCCCAAAATTGACAAGCTCTTTTGTAGTGTTTTGTGATTAGCCATCATCTTTCCATACCTCTCTTTACTGCTATCAATAAAAACCAAGTTAGTATTTTGTAGGCAGCTCTGACCATATTCCAGGATTCGCCATGAGATGAACCTAACTCAAACATGCAGCTACACTGTTCAGAAACTTCTGTGCTTTCCTTCTGGGTCCCTGTCTATCCCTAATTGTATCCATCATAATCTCTCTCTGGAATCACCACATGATTCCAGCTGGGTCCCATACAAAGCAGTTTCTTTAAACCTGGGTTTTCTGAAATCCTGAACTTGTGTTGAAACTTAAAGATCTTCTGCAAAATTGCCAGCAGTACTACGTACAAAATCAATTTATATTCTAATGAATTTTAAAACATATTTTCCACTTCTTATAGTTTGTATGTCCTGTGTTCAGCTCTGTATTATAGCAACTGGTCAATGCCAAATTCTTTGATGAGGTGTTCCAACATAACATTCCCCACTGACTTCTGCTCCTCCCTCACTGTCACCCTTTTCTCCCCCCTCCATTTTGCATGCTTCATAACTTCCCTGGTGATTTCACTCTTTACAGCACCCTTTGTTATCAGTTTGATCTTTCTTTCTTTTTTTTTTTTTTTTTTTTCTGTTTGTTTTTTTTTTTTTTTTTTTTTTTTTTTTTTTTTTTTAATTGGAATGGCTTTAAAACCAGGAATCAGGATATTACAAACTTACCATACGGTAAACAATCTTCTCTTTTGGCATGTTTAAATAACTGTGCCTACAATTAAAATAGGGAAAACAAACATGAGAATATACAGATTCTAAAACACATTATCTCAAACATAGAGTTCTAAAATACTTCATGTTTTTGAAATAATCAGTCGTTTTTACTAATTTACATAGCATAAAAGGGAACGAGACTTAAGAAGCCGTTTTACTTCTTTACAAGTCAAGGATACTGCAGCCCTCCCCTTCCTTCCATCCATACAATCATGCAGGCAAGCCAACTCAGGGAGCTGAGCTGGCCAAAAAAAACTCTAAAGAGAGAATGAAAAAGGATTAAAAAAGAGAGAGAGAGGGGGGAAGCCACTAGTTTTCAGCCAGCTCAGCTTTCTGAACCATCCAGCCCAGTGCCTGGTCACACAAGCTCAGTGCAGGTGCAACCACAGCACCTATTATCTCAAATAGCTCATGTTGCTTTGAACCTCTAAAAAGTGAAGCAGAATTTGGAGAACATGAATACAAGCAGAAGAACCAGGGGAACTCTAGATCCTGTTTGAGACTTCCTGACACTGAACATCTCCAAACTGAGTAAGCCTTGGTGATGATTTATTAGACAACCCAGCACACAGAACACATCAATGCTTTGGTCACTGCTCAGATGTAATAACTACACGTAAGCAATTGTAGTTATTAGCAGCAACCACACACTGACAGGCAGGACACAGTCCAGGCTAAACTGCTGAGTATTTTATCTGTTTCCCCAATAGCTTTTGAGAACTCCATGTTAAACTAAACAAAACCAGCTACAGAAATTTCTGACTGCAAGCCTGCGACAGATATACCTCCAACAACCTTTAATTCCTGTGCTGAAGGATTTACGGAAGAGCAAAAAGCTTCCATAAATAATTTTATATTTAATTAAATACTTCAGAAATATTAAGCCCCAGCACTACAGTGAGACAAATGGACTATTAACACCTGATCAAAATGATGTTAAACATTGAAAGTTTCCTCAGTTCACTTAGTATGCATCAAAAAAAACTGTGTTCAGTCACTTCTTTTTCCTTGCGTTGTCATTAACCAGAAGAAAAATCCTCCTCAATAAATATGCCTAGGAGTTAAACAAGAACAGACTTACCTTAAAAATATGTACTTTCTCACACATACCAAACACATACATGCCTCCTGCACTGCAGGTGTGGTTAAGCGCAACAAAGGCAATAAAAACACCTTCAGGCTATGTACCCATTCTAGTTTGTTTTGTTACTAAATTGCTTTTTAGGATCCTAAATTAGCACTTCTGATCAGCTCTACTGCAAGCTATATAGGGGACTTTGATAATGTATGTTGAATTATCTCAGATTTTTAGTGTTTTTACAAGTAACAAGGCAATTGTAAGGCATCCATTAACAACCTACATTTACAAAGGAGTAATGCTGCAGAACGATGTCAGGCCCAGAAGAACAGCTAACAAGAACAAATACCAACATGAATGGTATAAATATAGCACAGCTTTTCTCAATACACCCTATCAGTGTCCCAACAAAAAATTGTTTTCCAACTAACATACAACAAAACTCTGCTTGTGTTAAAAAGCCTAAAGATGACAATCTACAGATCTTTGGTGTAACTAACAAACACTGAGTGCCTCTAAAATTTTTCTACCTCTCTGCTAAAACATGAAGAAACTCATTTTTTCACCACTTTGTTCCTGTGTTCTGCTTTAAAAACCTATCAGATGGTTTCTTCACAAGGTTAGCAAGTTGGTAGCAGATGCCAGGAGATCCTGCAGCATTTCTGCAGCACCTTATCTTCACAATTATCCTCGTTTCTGTAGAAAAGTCCAGTTAAGAACAAAGACTGCTTTTAAAGCACACACAGACCGCCTCCAAATTATTAGGACTATATTCAAACATATTCAAAACAAAGCACAGTGTAATCCCTGACGTAGTAATAATACAGAGAAAGAGCTTTTTAATACAGCCTTGGGAATACTCCTGGGCGAATGCATTGGGATGTCTACACTTACACTTCATAGACTCATAGAATGGTTTGGGTTGGAAGGGACCTTAAAGATCACTTAAGTTCCAACCTCCTGCCTCATAGTGAAGAATTTTTCATAAGCTCTCATCTCAATCTCCCCTCTGTCAGGTTAAAGCCATTCCCCTTGTCCTGTCCCTACAGATCCTTGTCCAAAGCCCCTCTCCAGGTTTCCTGTAGCCCCTTTAGGCACTGGAGCTGCTCTAAGGTCTCCCCTTGAGGAGCCTTCTCTTCTCCAGGCTGAACAAGCCCAGCTCTCAGCCTGTCTCCAGAGCAGAGCTGCTCCAACCTCCTTTACTTCTTAGCACATTGTCTGGGAGCTCCTTCAAAGGTGGAAGAGAATCCTCAAAACATTTACACACTTTCGGTCTTACGTAGTTCCTAAATTCTGGCACCTTTCTCTGAGTTTCTCTATGAATTTTCACATCCTTAAGGCCAACTTTGAATTCAGCTCTGACTCCTCAGGAAAAACAGAACTAGAAGCACCTCAAGCAAGACGTGAGAAGAAATTAACCAACACATAAGCAGGAAATTAGAAAACTCTTCAAATACTGTAACAAGAAATTTTTTTAATGTTCTTCTTAAAAAATACCCAAAAAGGAAGAAAACAGCCTCACACACCTATGCCTCAATTTAGAACAGTGAACTTGACAGATTCCATTTCACAACCATTTCTATTATTTTCTAACAGAAAGGTGAAACATATTGTTTCCCTACGACAGTTTGACTATAAACTTAAATAACAATCTATTTTTATATCTAATATTCAACACAGAACATCTAGTCTCAAGCAAAATCCTGCAAGGATTCGTAATATACTTTCAGATGTTGAAATCATCATAGCAACTCTTCAGATACTGAACACAGCAGGAAATCCAGTGTCTGGGTTTTGTTCTGGTTGTAGAACTGTCAAGAAAAGAAGTTTTCATTACTCCTTTATGAGTTAAAGTATGCAAAAGCATTCCCAAGTCCAAATTTCCCAAACTTTTAAGCTTAGTAGATACGTTTTCTAGGGGAAATAAGAAAGCACTTTAACTAACATTAGCCTTTGGGGCGGGGGGGTGTGTGTGCGTATGTGTTTTCTTTCAGTATGTGCTACAGTAGATCAACAGTAGTACTGTCTCAGAAAAATCCTGCAAACCTAAAGCTTACAAGGGCTATACTGAACATAAAAGTACATGCTGCAGGAACAGAAAACATTAACAAAAACAGAAAAAAGAAGGGATCAACATTACAGTATCCAGCCTAAACTTCCTGCCTTGAAGGAAGAAAAACATCCAAGGCACACCATTTCAAAAAATCTGATACAAACAAAGTAATTAATAAGCTTGGTTTGCCACCTGCATAGACATTTCAGTGTCAGCAACTAACAATACTGAAAGTAAGGAGCCTGTCTCTTGGAGTATCCAGGCAATCAAAGTTACGCCACGGCCTCTTCACTTTAATGAGGACACACAGCATACACCAACTTACCCAACCTGTTGAACTGTTGAAAAGTATGTGACTCCCTCTCTTATAAATAATTAAGCCACCTACAAATTAGAGAAAATCAGTGGTGTGCAAGCAATGACGACTGTCAAGTCTGGTTTTGCTTTAGAAATAGCATGGTGCAAGGAAAACAAAGCCCAGTTTCTTAGTAATCCAGGAGAAACACACCACACCTTCCAATTGTCTGCATAACCCACTTTAGGCCCGACCTCCACAAGATATATCAATTGGGATCATCTCCAGGACATGTTCCCCAAGCTATACAAATCACCATTAAGGGTGGCCTGACTGTTTGGTAGCAAGTATATCTATCTTCCTGCCGAGCAGGAGACACAACTCTGCTTGTACCCTCTGGTGGTAACCAGCCAAGTCAAGGACTGGGAGGATAATTTCAGCCTCTATGGGAAGAGAAGAAAATGATCTTTCATTACTCTGGAGCACCCCCTAGTAGTCACACAACATTCAGGTCCAGGGAAAGCTATCAGCCATTCCTGCCTCCAGGCCAGATGTGGGGAGGTAAACAAGGCGAGGGAGGCCATGCTGTCAGAATAATAAATTCACTTGAAAGTAGAGAATATTTAATGCATTATATGTGCAGCTAATGGCAAAATAGATTAGTTCAAGCCCTTGTTCTTACTGTGTCTTCAACAGAGATAGTAAAATATTACTCCTGTAAGTCACATATTTGTGAGGGCACTGATCATTAACATGGTGCTTAAGCTGACAAGCTTCAACACAGAGCCCAGCTAAACGTGTGGCAAAAGGAGTTTAGTTTTCTTAAGTTTTTAGTTATTTACCAGTTGAGAGCCTGAAAAGTTTAGACTAACATGTGGAGAGCTCACAGAATCGTTCCTTTCTACCTTACCAAGGCTAAAAACACAGATTTTAAATACCTGGAAGGAAAAAAAAGAAGAGGCAGCTTAAGACAGCAATATAGTTTAAAAGGAAAAGAAAGTCTCATGATAACAGAACTTCTAAGCCTTGAACTAACTACAGTACTTCTGGTGAGAAGAAAAAAAAAAGTATCAGACAGGGCCCCACTGGAATACTCTGTGCCATTCAGAGAGGAGACACAGCGCCTCCAGAAAGGGGTCAGAGCCCTGGGTATCTGCAGACACAAGAATTTTCTTCTTCTCCTTACATCACCATTGCCTGTTGTACACCTTTATCACCAACCCATTAAGCAACGACACCTTCGGAAAAAAACCAACACCAACAGACAATCCTAACATCACTAATTCTTTGAGAATGTCAAAAATACAGAGACTTGGGAAACATTCTATTTAGAAATATTCTATTTTTGTGCCTCTGGGTCCGAAAGAATAGAGTTAGAGAGTTCTTTCTTCCCTGGAGCAAAATTTACATAAGCATGTAGCTATTGCTAAATAACTTTTGCATTAGAGACAGCTCAGGGAAATGCCCTGTTCTTAAGACTCTCGAGTTTCATCAGATCACCGTGTAGGGCGTTTTATTTTTTTTAATTATTACTCACACTTGTATACTGAATCACTTATAAAACAAATAAGGTTTAATAAGTTTCAATGCCCAAGGCTACCTCAACATGATGACATCTCTGTCACGCAAGAACTGGGAGTGCTGCACCCTGCAGCAATAACTAAAAAGCTGTTTGATATAATGGTAGGTTTAAAAGCAAACCTCCAGACCAAGAGAATTTAAAATGCAGATTCTTGAAACAGGTTAGAAGTTTCCTTCAAGTAAACAAATGTTATAAAAAAAATAAAATAAAGTGGAGTCATTTCATATTAATCCAACATTTAGAGTCCAATATACAAACCCAACATTGATAATCCTTCAAATACAGCAAGTGTCTAAACACAAAAGTGAATTTAATTCAATACTGAATTCAATACTATAATGTTAGTTTCAACTGAAGAGGGCAGTTTTAAAACCTAACTCTGAAATGTTATAAGCAAAGACTCCTGTTTGTGCACACCTGTTGTGAAATGATATATTACTGACGACAGGTGGAAAGAGAAAAAAAGGAAAAAGCATTGGTGGAATTAAAATATGTAATGCAGGCTGCGTGTTCCAACAGGAATCCTGAAACAGTAGTACTTGTTCTACACATAATGCTGAGTTAGATTAAACAGTAGCATACCTAATCACCAAGACTTAAGGCCACAAAGAGGCAGATCAAAGTGCAGCAACGTTGAACTACTCACTGCGTACCTAACTTGCAGTTTCAGTTCATTGAAATGCAAGAGTTTCGTGTCTTTTTAAAACAGTTTTGCCATGCCAATCTCTCTACAAGCCATTTCCTACATGCAGGTCATAAGCAGCATAATACCATAATCCAACTGAAATCCACCCAGTTAGGGGCAGCCCTAAATTGACCTGATGGACAGAAAGATGACTTATCCCCACCCTGGTGGGTTACATTCCCGAAACCTGTTACATTCCCAAAACCTGCCACATTCCCAAAACCTGCCTTGCTGTACTGACCAGAAACTGAAAAATGGTCTGCTTTTCTCTTGCTTGTTCAGAAAGAAATGCCCAGACAACTACAGTTTGACTTTCAAAGTAACAAATTTCTGGAGGAATCAAAGGGCAAAGAACTTTGAAGCCTGTTGACACAAGTTTTAGCTGTCCCTCATGAGGATGTGTTCTGCTTCGCAGACTTGGCAATTACTTACTATGTTTCTGTACAGACTGTTAGAATCTTGTCTGTTTAATAGAAAAGGTTCAGTTGTTTTAAAACCTCCTTTTATTTTCAGCTATTTTGGGTTTAACAATATGCTATCGTCACAAGTATGTTACACAGTTCTTAATATTAAACTCTTGAAACAAGTATTTCTTACTCCACTTAAGCACATCTCCATACACACATACCTGCACACATATTCTGAGAACCTTCATGCCCTAATGATCTAATTCATGCTTACATTGTAGTAACTAAAATTAAAAAAGGAAGACTGAAAGCAAGAAAGGCTTTAAAAGTTCAGTCTGCTCATAGCTACCAACTGGAATAGGAGTTAGGAGCTGTAGGACACAAATAAAACTAGCCTGAAACACTTTCTCCTATCCCAGAGAGAAGGAAAAACTAATGTAAATGCAAGAAGGCTCCTGCTTCCAGGTATATTGTATCACATTCCAGTTTCGATTCTACTTGTTAGGTATTCACCTGTTTCGCTTAGTATGCACTAATGAACAGGTGGATAGAGCCAAAGCCAAACTCAAAGGAATTATGACAAAACACTAATGTATTATACATCCTGCAGGTCTCATCATGTGCCTAGAATGGCAAACAGTCAGTCTCCCTTTCCAGATCTGACAATAAAATGATGAAACATCATTCTGTCTTTTGAAACATACTGCAATGCATACAAATAATGCTTCCTCCTGCCTAAGCAGCAAGTCCTAAGTTATTCTAAAAATAGATCATTTCTTGTATCTTCTGATTTGGAAGAGCTGCTGGAGAGGAAACAAAAAAAAAAACCCACCCAAAAAAACACACGGCACACACTTGTTCCAGAACTTTGCTTTGATGTTTAGTAACATACTGTATATGAGTCCTCATAGCTATTAGTTAAGAAGAGCTGCAGATTTATGCAAATGATAGAAACTTGTACAAACACCAGCAAATCCTTAAACCTGTGCAAAGGCTGGTCAAGAGCAAGTCATCACCTCCACTTTGATCAACAACAAAAACAAGAAGTAACAACTCCACCTGCACAAACTGCCCCATTCTACCCAATTATATTTGGACGCCAAAATCAAACAGATACCAAAACTGTTATTCAAGGGTTTCAAAATGCACACTAACACTTTCCAGGGTATAAAACTACAAGAAAGCTTTTATAACAAGATATTCTTTGAAGGTACAGAAGGAGTGCTATTGTATAGTAGTGGTCGAGGTATTACAGACTTTTTCCCATGCGTGGTGTACCAATTTTAAAACCCAAACTAAGAATTCAGCACTTTTGAGTCATAAACTATTGTTACTTCACAAGGCAAGGAGCATTAAACAAAAAACTTGTTCAGATTAGCAAGGAAAACCATCAGAAACAGTGCATTTTCTCAGACTACTGAAGGACCCTAACAAGTTTAGTATGTCTCAGTAAAACTATTGAGAACAATATCTGAGTTGAAGAATGCACACAACTTTCTAGAGTCACTTGTATTTTGGTTACCAGTTCTAAAGTCTAGGAAAGACCACTGCTATACCAGAAGCCCAACCTCTGCATTTTATACAGTTCCAATTTTTTCATTTATTCCCAAGGTTTTGTTCAAAGAAGAAACAAAATAAGCAAACCAACCAACCAACCTCAACCCAAACTGAATTATGAAATGATTACTGATATATAATCAGCTCTTTAAAAGCATTTTTGAGAGTTATTTCTCAGTATCTATACTGGCAACTTAATTTGGTGATGACAAGAATACTTAAAGAAAATATATATATGTGGGAAGTTACAACTTCAGAACTGCTGTGGAGGAAATTCTAGCAGTGCATATTATCCTTTTTTAATAAATACACATAAACTCTCTGTGCATTTGCTACTGAAGGTCTGCCATGGTAGTATCATATGACCATAAGTACAACCATCTATCTTTTAAAAGATAAAAACAGTATTTACCAGGGCCTGGAGCATGCCATTCATAACAACGGTCCCCTCCATGGTCTGAAAAGAGGATTTAGATACCATGGAAAGTGTCCAGTCCAGGAAGTCTGCCATCCTCTTCTGCTTGACATCAGGGCGGACAATAAATCTGTCACAGAAAGAAATGAACACTGCAGTTACTAACTTCATGACTTCCAGTGAAAAGTAATTTTTCCTGCTATCCAAACCAGTTGCAGTTCCTAAATACAACTCTCCAATGGATATTTGGCTAAATTGCTGAGGGTGGGAACATTTAAACCACCATAAATTCAGCCCCTCTGTCTCTGAGCAAGGCTTTGACCCAGAATTCCACTTTCACTTCAATCTATAAACTTGTGTTCTAGAGATTTCTCATCTTAATTGTAAAGCAGCAACCATTCCAAAGGTCCATTAGAATTAGTGAAAAGCTCAAACAAATACAAGGATTCTCTCCACCATTCTCACCAAGAACAGCTATTCTGCACATCTGAAAATGGGTGCAAATCCACAGTTGGTCCATGCTGCACTGTTACCAGCCAGGCCCATAAAGAGTAATCATCAGTGCTACATTGGGGTTCTGTATATGTGAAAAGGTCAAATACTCATTATTTAACAGACTAGATGGGTCAAGAGATGTATTTTCACCTATCTCAGGGCGAAAGAGGTTCATCATGGTTAAACTACTTCTGTAAACCTATAATCATCAGTGCCAACCACGCTACAGTCAGGGCATCTGCTTCAGTTATCTGATTTAGTGTTCGTAGCACTTAAAAACAAGCAGAGATTCAGACTAATTAAGAAACTTTGTTCTTAATGCAGTCAAAGGAAACAAGGTACATGGGAAAGACCAAAAGCACAATTCATAGGGTTTAAAGAAGGATGTATGCAGAGCCTGTATCTAGTTACTTTACGCACGTACAAAGTAAATGAGGAACTGCACCAAGAGTTAACTAACGGGAAATATTAAATACAGACAAGACAGGAAACAGTGAGCAGGTATGTGATCATCTGAATTATCTTCAAAGTCAGTACCTGTTGTGTTCAGCAATAGAACAGTGAGGATTTGGGGCAGGGGTTAGTCTGGGGGCTGGTTTGCTTTATAACCAAGCAGCAAGGACACAGCCTTCTCTTGCACAACAGCGCAAGTGAGAGAAGTAACCTGTAAAGTAGATGAACTGGTTCCTAGACCCTTTCTTAGCCCAAAGGAGTTTAAATCTTATTTTCCCCAAGGAGTGCCATAACCTCCAGACTAGAAGCAAGATAAGCCTCATCCCCTCCTACTGCAACCAGGTCCCTAAGCAGACAGAAAGGAGAATTTGTGAAACAAGTTCCAGCTCCTCTGCCCTTGAAAAATAAATCACTTTGGAAAACAAGAGATCCTGATGTTTCTCTTGAAATTCATTAACTTCCAGCTCCTCTGTCCTTGAAAAGTAAATCACTTCGGAAAACAGGGGATCCTGATGGTTCTCTTGAAATTCATTAACTCCCTAAAGCAGGAACCAGAACCCAGACTTCCTCTTCCTCCCCAAGCAATTCCCTACTCAGTGTGTTACTGAGTTAAGACTCCTATATCTCCTCTCTCTCCTTGTCCTTGGATTTTTGTAGTCCTGCTTACCTAAGAAGACGAAGCAGTGATCTCTGAATAACTATGCCTATTCATTAAAGAATTGATCTGGGATATAAAAGCAGTGAATTCAAGTGCACCAAGGCCAAAATGCTTTCGACCCAGGTCTTCCAATTCCTGGTGAAGTGTTTTAATCATTAGATTATTTGAAAATAGGGTTTTCATAATTAAATAATTACAAGTACCCTAGATAGCAACTTTCCTCCCCTTAAGAGTCTTACACACCTTGATGCAGCTGGTACTAGAACCAGCTTAATGTATTCTATCACCTTACTTGTTATTAATATCTACTTTTATAAAAATTAATTCAGCCAATAAAATGTAGGTGAAAAGAACATAAGACAACTGATAATAACACATTTGCCCAGTACCCTGCGTTTGGATGCAAGGCCCTTATGAAATCCCCCTGAAATCCAGGGTTGAGCACTGCATGAACATAGAGTTTTGCTGAATGCAATGCTGTAATCAATCACATAACTGTATATATGCTTCCACTAGTAATTTAGTTTTACAGATACCCTGGAGTACCAATGAAGTGCAAATTCAACTACCATAATGTGATGAAAGAATCATTTTAAATTACTGTCACCCTTACTTGAGAAGGCTTACAAACACTAGACGTACCTTCAAGAGTCTACCCCAGTTCATTGATTTGCATGTTTTTCTGGGTTTTAGGAAGCAAAGAAGATAAAGGGCGTATCTGGGCACATGAATGCTCAAGAGTAATTCACTCTATGTCACATTTCCACCTTAAATCCTCTGCTTCTGTGAAACTGTCACAAGGCAGATGACCAATGCAAACATAAAAATCCTAGAAAAGCAACTTCCAATTATCACTTCCAAAATGCCTGCAAAACCTAGTTAGGACAAGGAAAGAAACCTACATTCTGTCACACAGAAATAAGTATGTAACAGTCAAGTTTATTTATTGAAGACAATTCAAATGCTTAATGCATTCACTTAAATCTTGCTCTGAAATATTTCACAGCAAATCAGAAAAAGTACAGGACTAGTCACCAGAGAACTGTGAGTCTGTTCTCAAACTCCTTCATGAATTTTCTCCATGACTCTGCCAGTTCTAAAACAAAAGTGTTTGTTTTGTCATGAGATTCAGAAGTGCACCGTTATACTCAACTAAATACACATTTCCAAAGCACTGAGTCCTGTGACTGAAGCTCAATAAATTTAATGTAAGTACATGAACAGTTATTTCCCCAAAAAGACAGTTAGGATCTGCTCTATTAAATGTTATATTTAACAACTATTTTGATACAATTAATGTTTCTTAATCTGGAGAAAAACGTTAATGCAGATTTTATTGTTCAGACCAGCTACGCACATCCACTACCATCATTTCATTGTGTTCGCTCACCTCCAGAGCCTCTGCTCCTATAGCTACACTGGCAAAACTATGTTGGCAGAGCCCCCTAGTGTAGACAGAGTAAATAGTGGTGTAAAGATTTTTGTAAGGGTTTCACTTGTTTTAAAAAGAAAGAAAAAAATTAAAGAAAAAACAAATGACAAACTGAGCTGACTAAAGCCCTCTTCTGCTAGAATGTACTGGAATATGTACTATGAGATACACTGGAAAAAGATACGTGTGTACTGGCACAGTTTATGGTCTTTGTAATTCATTTTCATACGCATCAGAAATGAAATCTTCACTAATGCAGGAGGAAAGAAGAGCTACAGAAGTTCGCTATTTCAAATTTGTAAACAACCCCACCACGAGTGTCACTGAAATGACACAAAATACCCGTGAGAACAACTGCACCTATGTCACACGTTTCTGGGTGTCTGAAGACCAACCATGTAAAAAAACAGGATTTAGAAAGTTCTGTTATACTACACCTGCTTAATTTGATGAATTATTTGCCAACAATAAACCTAAGAAAGCAGAAGTACTGTTTTCTGGATGAGAGAATGAAGAAAGGGACAAGATGGATATTAAGAAAATAAATTCTAGCACTACTCCTTCCTTTCACATAACTTAAGTCCTAAAAGGAAACATCAAACCCGTAATCCTACATGCCAATTCTCTGTTTAGTGTGCAACATGCTCTAAAAATCACCAGCAACACAAAGAAACTGTATCTTTCTCAAACCCAGTAGTACAAACATTGTAAATTGCCCTGGAAAGCAATTCAAGAGTATCCTGTTAACAGTGAGGATCTGTATCACTTCTGAGAGGCACCTGTTCCTCTACTAAGCAGAAAAAAACAGAGCATGTCTAGTAACAAACACACTATTGGATCTGATTCAAGCAAGTTTTACATCCCACATACAGTTGGCAACTTCCAGTCCTCCCAACAGTGTCATAAGCAGAGTGTCATACTAAAATAGGTCAGCAGAAAGGGGAACTAGCTTTTCCCTTTTTGCCAAGAAGCACAGAAGAGACTTACTTTGAAACCAGCACAGCAGCTGCATCTCGAGCCTTATCACTGACAACCAAGTAACACTAAGGGTAAAAGAAAACTAACTGTAAAGGAATGCACACATGTAGATTTCATAACTACATAACTTTGTACATGAATATACTACTTACGATTACAAACATTGTAATAATATATTTTATATCATTATGATTACAAACTGAGCCTGTAAAATTATTAGATTTCCCACTTCCCATATCTCAGATAACAAAGTCTCCCTTCTAGTCTTTCACAGTGAAATTACTGAAACCTTAACTTACAGTCTTATTTGTGCTACTACAAACCTATGAGAGATGAGCCAGTGAAGTACTGCAAGTGTCAAAAGCCTAAGATGTTCAGGTATTTGTGGGGAGGGCATGTTGTTTATTTTTATCTCAAAAGGCTGACAAGTCAAACACTTTGGCTTATGCTTAGGGAAACTTTGTGGAAAATTCTTCATGCAGTCATAGGTTCCAATGTTACTAATCCTGATCAAAAGCTGATTTTCAATATAAATCTCCAAACTTGGCTTTCAGAATAAAGTGGCTACTGTTTCCAAATGCTATAAGCTGTTAACATAATCTAAGGCATGCAGTCATATCAGATAGTTGTAAAATAAGATAGTTTATTGCTTGTGGAAAACAAGTAACAGTCTCATCTGACACTAAAGCAGCAAAGAACATCTTGAAGATTCCAAAACTATAGAGAAATTCTTTACGGAATAGACACAAAACATATGGGCTTAAATAATATTCTGAAAAGACAATAATTTATTACGTATTGGAAGATAAAGCCCGAGAAGAACATCACAGGTTGGAAAATATTACAAGAGGTTTTATACTTACTTTTGCTACTGTAAGTATGCGATCCATTGTGGGCACACGAGTGTGCCCCTCCTCAGCAATATTGCCATCAAAACGGGCCAGATCAAAAGGAATCAAGCATATCATGGAGAGCCACAGCAGAAGCATATAACGAGTTTCCCAAGTCTGGAAAAGAATGGTAAAATAGAATATGAACTCCTTTTTCTGCAATATATTCCAACAAAGTGCCTGAAGCACAAACTATCCACTGGCTCCAAGGAACTTTCAGAGTGAGATGATGAAAACTCTGAACCTGAACTCTCTGAAACACCAAAGGAGACAGAACTACAAGCAGTTCCAAACAGGAAAACAATAACAAAGTTAATGGACCCTTCCCTCTGAATCTGAAATCCCAGCAAGTTTATTTCCTTCCCAGAGGAAAACTACATGTTACTGTTTTCCTGTTTGCTCCTTCTGCCCTCAGCCCATTTGTGCCTCCAGTCACATAGGTTCTTCTTCCTAATTTCTTATGTATTGCTGTTCTGGATTTACTGAAAGAACTTTAGATGTGTTTTGTGAGACAGACAAGAAGTAACTTTTACAGGCTTTAAAGCTGTACAACTACAACAGCAGCAAAGTGAAGAGAATTGATAATGTTTATTAAGAATTTATTTTAACTTAGAGCAGTTATTGCCTTCAGATGCAGTATTTTTGTTACTTGTAATAGATTATGATGTGTCAGCAGTAGTAAGCCTTCTGGAATTTTTACCTTTCCTTATTCAAAAATAGAAGAATATGAACTATGATTATGTTGGACTTGATCATCCTTATGGATCCTTAAGGAAGGATCCTTATGGGCCCCTTCCAACTCAGGCCATTCTATGATCTCAATGCATGCTTAAAAATTATTTGCCTAAATAGTTTTTTCAGATCAGAATTCTTGCTCAGAACATTCCCAACCAAATAAAGCCTTAAATCAGGACACACAAGGAACTGATGGCGCACTGTTTCTCAAATTGCAAACAGGTAGGGAAAAAATCTGAAATTCTAGAATTACTTTTCACACTCAAGAATGTATTATCAAAAGGCAAAACTTCCTCATGCCATAACTGTGCTATTTTCTCCAATCTTCACCTCCCTCCTTTTAAAAGAAAAGTGGAAGAAAAACAAGAAAAATAAAAAAAACTCACAGATCTGAAGATAAATATTCGGGGATTGGGGAAGAATAAAACATTTTATGAAATTAAACAAGGAAAATTAACTATCATCTTCATTTCCTTATCAAAATAGAAGTTCTCACACCAACTTTAACAAAACCCCAGGGTTTAAAAACCAATCTCTTAACATTAAGAGGGATAAAAACATAAAACTTAAATACTCCCATTTTCTGTGATTTTACTTTTATGACTTCCAAGGTAAATCAACATGACCTTTACTGATGCACATAGCAGGAAAAGGATTTTTCAGTTACTCTTTTTACAAGTTCAGTATCTTTCACGGCCTTTATTACTGTTGTTTCAATTAATTTGTTCCCCTATATGAATTTTACTTGCACCTCTACAATCATCACTTCTAAATCTTCAGAACATGTTCCATGAAACAAAATCACAAAACCTCTCCTGCAATAATAAATTTCTCTTCTCACAAGATGACTATCACACTAAATCACAGAACAGTTTGGGCTGGAGGGACATTAAGGTTCATCCAGTTCCAATCACCTGCCACTGGCAGGGACACCTTCCACTAGACCAGGTTGCTCCAAGCCCCTGTGTCCAACCTGGCCTGGAACACTGCTAGGGATAGGGCAGACACAGCTTCTCTGGGCACTCTGTGCCAGTGCCTCAGCACCCTCAGTGTAAAGAGCTTCCTAATAGCTCATCCAAATCTACCCTCTTTCAGCTTGAAGCCATTCCCCCTTGTCCTATCACTAAAATACAGATGTACAGTTAACACTGGACAGGGCGTATCACTCCTTTATACACTTTTTTCCAGATTTTTTTCTTAACACTGTTCATCAGCTTCTTCTGCTGGAGACATAGAAGTTAAACAAAAAGTAAGGCAAGTTCTCACCTCAGGGTCTTTTGGATTCTGGTCTACAAGCATATCCAAAACAGGCTGTAGATCACGTACTTCATGAGGAAACAGTGGGAGGAAAACTTTGTATCCTCTCACCTGTAACAGAAGGTTTCAAAATTTAATAAACCATTTGGCATTGTCAAGTGCTGAGGAAAATTAAAATACCCTTTAAGGAGCTTCTTGTATATGATCCTCATGTAGTATGAATGTAGTTTATGAATTAAGGTCGTAAATACCTTGAGATTTTTGCACTTTACAAACTTATTAAGAATTAAGATTGCTAATACTTTAACTTAAAACAAGGGGCCTCTAGGAGACCGTCTAGTCCAGCTCTCCTGCCAAATTGTGGTCACCCACCGCAGGCTGCCCAGAACCATGTCCAGTAGGGTATTCAGGATCTCTAGGGATGGACATAGCCAACTTCCCTAAACAATCCACTGCAGTGTTCAATCCTCACAGTCAAAACATGTTTTCTCATACTCAGAAGGGAATTCCGCAATCCATCTAATTCTTCATCATACTTTACCATTCCCTTTAACATTATGATTCTGGTTTTGTCACTCAATATCTTAATGTCTGCAATTTTTAATTGGTTTTTTTTGCATGTATACCTTGATTTTTACCACTGTGGATCATTAAACAACATAAACTATCCAGAAAATGATTTAAAAAAAAAAAAAAAGATAACTACTCTTTCACAGTACAGCTTAAAACATTTTGTTGCATTGCTTAGTCAATTATTTATTTTACTATTTTTGAAGGCGTAGGGTTTTTTTATTTAAGTAACAAATAATATATTGAGAACTTACATATTTCAGCTACATTTGGGGTTTTTTACCTTTGTAATGATGTAAAGAAATTTAAAAGCCAGGTGAATGAGTGGGGGAGGAGATCCGTTGTCCCGGACTATATCCAACAACAAAGTCATCATCCACTCTAATGAAAGGGGAAGGGAAGAAGTGAGACTACATGCAGTTAGCTTACAGTTTCTCATACTTCTAATAATAAAGAGAGAGGTAGTAGTATTGTAAGTAACATAAACTACAGCAATCTTGTAAAGCGAATATGGGCCTTCTAGTTTAACAGATTTTCAAGTATATACACAAAAAATGTTTAAAGATGACATTCGTACCTAAGTGACGATCCAACAAGTGTGGTTGCTCCTGGTACTTGTCCATTATACCTGAAAAGGAAGATATCTGTAATAAACTAGTCAAATTAAAGGCTTTTACAGGCATGAATTGCAAGATACATCCCAATTCTATCCAGCTTTAGCTTAAGATTTCTGTATCCTTGAGCTAGGTGCTGCCACCACCTGTAAGTGAGGTCAAAAAGTAAGACCACCACAAAGAAGTAACTGTAAAAATACAGTGTGCCCTTCCACAGGGCAATCACTTACCTACACTGAACTATGAAGTCCCTTTAGGAGTCTCTCAAATTACTGTGACCAAAGCTCACAGCACTCACTCAGTTTGTTGCTGCCCTTCACTGCAGAGCTCCTTGTGGCTCTCCTTTCCTAAGCACCACTTACCAGCACACCATTTCTGATGGAACTCTGCAACCAGAGGACAACATTGAACCACTATAGACTGCAGCTGCTCCAGATGTACCAGCTTTACGCTGGACTCCTACCCACATAGTGACCAGAACACTGCTTTAGCCCTTTCTGCCCTGCTCTTCACATCCTCTTCATTAACATACGGAATCCCACTTACTTTAACACACTGTTCTGTTTGTTGGCAGGTCAAATTACTGATTGTCTTTAAAAACACAGACCAATATATTTCAACATCAAGAATTGGAGTAGCATGACTCTTTTCTAACCCTGAGGGTAATACAACCATGAGGAAATTCTCCCTGGACATACTGGACTTCACCACAAGGCTATCTCTCCTCCCATGCCTGGAACCCATTTAAAGATATAGCTCCACCACTGAGGATCTGTACTGAAACAGGGTATGGACACCACAAAAGTCTTATCTCTTTCTTTTGAGCTACCTCGCTACAGCAGAAGGAAAGCCAACACTTTGCATGTGAAGATGCACTTCACAATCCTCAGAGCTAGTTTTTCATTTTGAAATAGAATAGAGGAAATTATTCAGCAAAGAACAAAGAATCCTTGATAAATTTTAACCTGGACCAATACAAACTGTAGCTATTACTAGCGGTGTTCCTCAAAACTTTTCACATTACTTTATCTTGCTGCCAGTAATATGTTATCTTCCTTTTGGGAACTGACTTGAGAGAAGACAACCTGAATACTGAAAAAAACCCCAAGAAGAGCTTGCCACAGTTTTTAGGAAAAAAAAGGCATTTCAATTTACAAGTAGAATCAACAAAAAGCAACTACAGAAATGAGAGATGGATTTCAGAAGAGATCATCAACTGATCCAGTATTGCACTGGAGATTGCCTGGGTCATATATATCTGGTCAGAAAATAGCTTTTCAATTAGAAAACTAAAATACTTTCTTAATCTCTCCTTTTCCCGCATTTATGTTTCTCACAGCTTTGGTCCCTACCCCTTTTCTCCACTTGTCACATCAACACTTAGATTTAAGTTATAACTCATCTTCAACACTGCTACACTTGACAAGTGGATGACACCGCACAAGCACTTTCAATGGTATCCTTGTGCAATTCCAACTGGATACCACAGTGCTGCCTTCTATCAAGAGGGAAGCCTGAGCTTCCTAATCATCAATAACTTCCTGTTGTAATTAAAGATACCTTGTTCTGGGTTCAGCTGTAGCAGTTATTTTTCTCCTTCATAGTAGCTGGTGGAGTGCTGTGGTTTTGACTTTAGTCTGAGAACAACGCTGGTAACACACCAATGGTTTAGTTGTTGCTAAGTAATGCTTACCCTGATCAAGGACTTTTCAGTCTCCTGCTCTGCCAGGGAGGAGGGGCACAGGAAGCCAGGAGGGAGCAGAGACAGGACACCTGACCCAAACTGGCCAAAGGGGTGTTCCATACCACAGCACGTCATGGCCAGTATATAAACTGGGGGGAATTACCCGGAAGACCCAGATCACTGCTCAGGTCAGGCTGGGTATCGGTCGGCGGGTGGTGAACGGTTGTATCCTCTCCTCTTGTTATTTCCCTTATCATTATTATCATTGGTGGTAGCAGTAGTGGTTTGTATCATAGCTTAGTTACTGGACTGCTCTTATCTCAACCCATGGGAGTTACATTCTTTTGATTCTCCTCCCCATCCCTCTCGGAGCGAGGGGAGGAAAAAAAGGGGAGTGAGCAAGCAGCTGCGTGGTTCTGAGTTACCGGCTGGGCTTAAACCACAATATAACTTAAGATGCAAATGACAGAACTAGTGAATACAAGAAATTCTATCAACACTCCAAACAACAGCTCTCAAGCAGATGTGGAATTTAACAGCAAATTCCCTATCCTTCAAAATCATTTTCCCAAATCACAGTCCAGCAATCTAAAATAAAACCCTAAATCTAAATGCTGAAGAGAATGAACTGGAAAAAAAATTCTTCAAATGTTATTATTTAAAAAAAAAAAAAAAAAAAAAAGGGAATATAAAAGTTCCTAATTTTTCCTACAAAATCATGGTTGCAGGTTGAATGCTCTAACTGTTGTGGTTTAAGCCCAGCTCAGCACCACACAGCCATTCGTTCACCTCCATCTCCCCTTCCCCCTGCCAAGGTGGGATGGGGAGGGGAATTGAAACAATGTAAACCCCACAGCCTGAGGTAAGAACAGCCCAATAACTAAAGTATAATACTAATAAAAATGATAAGAGGAATAACAAGGGGAGAGAATATAAAACTAAAAGGGGAAAAGGAAAGAAAAATAATAAACACAAGTGATGCACAATACAATTGCTCAGCACCTGCTGACTGATACCCAGCCTGACCCAAGCAGCGATCAGTCCCTTCCAGGTAACTCCCTCCATTTTATACCCTGGCCATGAGATGGCATACCCCTTTGGCTAGTTTGGGTCTAGTTTGTCCTGTCTCTGCTCCCTCCTGGCTTCTTCTGCCCTCCTCACTGACACAGCATGAGACTGAAAAGTGCTTGATGAGGGTAAGCACAACTGAGCAATAACTAAAACATCAGTGCGTTACCAGCCTTATTCTCAGAACAAAGCCAAAACACAGCACTGTACACCTGCTAGAAAGGACAAAAATAACTGTTAGAGCTGAACCCAGGACACTTCCAAACTTCTAACAGTCCACAAAACAAAACGAGTAACACATGTTTTTTGTAAATGCTTCAGAGACCTGAGTTAAAATCCTCTGTAAGTGACGATTCCTGCCTTATCTGCATACAGATTATTCCTTAAGCTTCAACACTATATCCCACACATTTAGCCTCTCACCATATTTGGGACAGTTTGCCCAAATGAGGGCGAATTATCAAAGGATCAAATGATAACTTACAACACTAAATATTATAACCAAGTATTGAACAACATATACAGTACCTATCAGTTTTAAGTATACTAACACTGAATTTAATGAGCAATGATGTGCATGTAGAAAGTTCATAAATACAATTTAAGCACACAGAGACAGTACACATGATATGGAAGACAGAGAGGCACAGCAAGGTGATGATGATGGCCTTTCAGACACAGATTTCTTCAGTAACAGCTTCTCTATCCCATCAAAGTCAGTCATTCCACCTGTGATACTGACCAGTCAACACAAATATGGATGTTCTTGCTACTTCTTTCTGTTCATCATTAACCTTCTCGGAACAATCAGTTACGTCAACCAAGTACAATACTACTGAGTAACTTCTGCAGGGTCAGATTTCCAAATTTAGGATTTTCTGGTTTATCGTTTGCCTACCTAGTCTCTTTTTGTCCAAAATGCAGACACTGCATCAATATTTTGACTGCAAATTTTTTGGTTTTTTGCAATTTCACCACTTTTGCAGAAGTACCTGCAAAATGTTAGTGCACTTAACTTGTAAATATAAGAAACTTGGAATTAACTTCTGCAAATCACCTGGTCAGAATACTGGATCCAATACACAGATGTGCATCATAACAGGCTAATTACCAAAGGCCCTGCTACATGTACCTAATTACACACTTCTATGTTCAGCTGAGGTCTAGAAGCAGAATCACTTTCATGATATGGCACAAAAGCTCAGTTATTAAGTCAGATCCAAGTTGCCCTCTCTCAGAAATAATTACATGATCTGTATGGATTCAGCTGCCCTTCTTATTTCCTATGAAATATAAAGTAAAAATATTAAATTATCACTTTCAAGCACAAAACGTATGCATTTTTAACAAGTGATTAGGTACAAAAATGGCTTTGACAGACATAAAAACTTTAATTACTTTATTGCCTGCATTTGAATGGAAAACTGGAAGCTCAACATGGGTCAGAATTCAGATTTCTTAAATCTGAAACCTAAGTTTTTATTTACAGTAGTTAAATTGTGTGTAATAATGGAATACACATCTGGAACACAAAATGAGTAAGAAATAAACCTAAACTACGTGTTGATAAAGTTCCAGCATTACCACTAACCCAAAATTAGTATTTCGGTCCTTTTTGGGTACTAAATTCCTTGAACTAGTAGGGGACATGTTCCCTTCGGATGACGCGCTTACCTACAAATTTTTCCACGATCGTTTCCCGAGACGCCAGGTCCCCGAAGGCTCCCTTCAGGTTACCGATGAGCCCCCTGACCTCCTGGCTCTCTGTGAAGCTCTCCAGAATGCTTCTCGTGGTGATGACACCCGTCTCCTGATTCTTGCCTTCTTCTGGCTCCGACCCCACTCCATCCATCTCGCCCAAAGCCATGTCCGCTGCCGGCCGTCACCGCTGCCTCCCACTGCTGGGCAGAGCAAGAGCCGGTCACTGCACCAGAGCCCACCCCTCCCCTCAGCCGTCCCTCCATCCCTCAGGCGA